TAATCCTAATTGTATTAATGTCAGGAGGTGAAAACCCCTTCCCACCTCCCCCCATTCCTCCTTTCTATTTTCTCATTTTCTTTTTCTGTCTGACCTTTTTTTCTGGATCTATATTCATGCTTATTGTGTTTGAGTTGTGTTTTTTAGTCTAATTCATATAATAACTAATTTGTATAGTCGGATTAGCATAAAATATAAATCAAGAATTAATTTACTGGAAATAGCAAATGAGTCATATCCTCAGCCATTGCTAACCATGTTCAGTAGGTGAATGTAAGGCTGAAGATTCCTGCCATTTGTTGCAATTGAGACTGCACCTTGGCCGCCTGTGATATTGATGTCCATTCATTACAAGCTATATACAAGCTATACAGAGCTGTAGATAGGATGTATTGCTTAAACGCTAAGTGCAGTAAAGCACAGGCTCTCCAGGACATATGCTGTGATGTCTTTAAAATTAGCACAACGACAAATAGAGATTTAACAAGGTGTTTCATGTTACTTAATGAGCAGATTCATTAAACCACAAAGTGCCAGATGATAAATGAAACATTGAGATTAATTTTATGCAGAATCACCTCTTCATACCAGTAGAAGGATTCATTTATATATCATGCAGTTGTTTACCCTTGATGTTGACTTTTTGCTAACCTTTGCCACTGCAGTTTCCAATATTCTCTGGTTAGCCACATTATCCATGATGCAGAGCCTTAAGACTTGCTGAGCACCATGCGAAAATAGCCCACTAGTCACTTTAACAAAGTATAGCCATCGCTGTAACACATAATTAGAGTACACTGTAGTTTCTTATAGGGTGATTGACTAAAGAAGAAATTCTGGAGACATCTCCCCCAAATAAGCGAAAACTTTACATTAATTAGGCAAGCTGGAAAAGCAGCTGAGTTTTTTTTTTTTTTTTGACCATTGTTGTCCTAAAATTTCCAATTCCTATGTCAGTTGTCTAAAATACCTGGTTTTGGAAATAGACCTCATGGAGGGTCCTTATCATTTGGGATAACCAGAAATATTCATGGGAGAGGGATGTGCCGCTACTACAAATAAGGGAAAAAGATAAAAATAAATTCAATTTGTTGATAAATACTAATGAAAATAAGTATACAAACTATCACAAAAACAGCAGGAAACAAATTGCTCTCTCCACCAGGGCAGGAAATGTGTTCCAAGTGCTTGGTTCTGGCAGCAATGTTCCTCCAATTCAAAATTTTCTCAAAAAATAACAATGCCGCACTCAAAAGAATTTAATGGAATAAAAAGAAGATATCTGGAGAACGAGTATCCTTGTGGTGCAGATTTATTACAATATTGTGAACATAGCATGACCACCATAATAAGCAGCAGCAGTGAGAGGAGTTGTGGCTAACACATCTCTGATCTGGGCATCAAAAAAGAGAGGGAGGGACGACAAAAAAACAAACAATCAAACTAAATGAAACGGAAAATGAAATGGAACTAAATGCGTTTCACATCACTACTGGTCACTTTCTCAACAAAGTAGTGACGTGAAACGCATTCAGTTCACAGTTTCATTTAGTTAGGTTGTTTTTTTTTGTCCCCCCCTCTTTTTAGGATGCTATGTTCACAATATTGTAATTAATCTGCACTACAAAGATACTCTTTATCCAGATCTCCATCTTTTTATTCCATTAAGTTATGTTGAATGCTATGTTGCTATTTTTGTGCTATTATTCATTGAGCCATTTTGCAACTGAAATGACCAGGAATGGTTCTAGAATGTAAAATTTGGTGCCAACATTAGTTTATGGACTTCATGTGCACAGTTACATAATCACCAAAAATTACAGAAACAATTTGCTCCCAGATACAGACATACAGCACACATACAAATAGATATGCTACTAGACACACACAAACAATCATACACATACACACATATATACATACTCCAAGATAAACACAAATGCACACCTCTACTGCAGTAAAATGTAAATATTTTACTTTAGCCACTTCCTATGTGTGTGCCTTTTGGTTACATGAAGGTGGCATAGATGGTGTCTAAGCGGAGCAGACACATGCACATACACACATACACATAGCCACACAAGCAGACACACACTGCCACACAAGTATACAGATGCATGCTGCCACACACCCACAGGCACACACTGTCACACACACTTTCATACATGCATAAGGACTGGCACACACACACATATACCACTAACTAAGCTCTGTTTTAGCTACTTATAAGGTCTGCAGCTTTTGCAAGCTGTTTTTACATATACCCTAAAGAAACCAAGGAGAAAAAAATACATGCATGCTTTCTTTGTGGTTATACCTAATTGTTGAAAACAAAAATCAATGGAGTATTCCTTTAAACATGAGACAGTCCAAATGTTCTCTTACAATTGCTCATTTCCATGTTCTCCCAGTACTATTTATGGTCTTGTTTATAAGAAGACTTTATTAGCAAGACTAGGTACATGTATTCTTCAGAATACGTCATAAGCACTACAGGCACTCAAATGTTCGATGCAATGAATGTTACTGTACGACTAGTTGTCCTGTGCATTTATCTCCTTAGTTTTTGTGTTTTTTTTTTTTTTTTCAAGAATAATTATGTTTTGGTTCATAATGCCACCCTTTCTGCCATCCCTTCCAACCTGCAGTGGTTTTCCCATTTTTCAAACATACTGCTGTACATGATAGAATACATTTAAGGTTTTAGTGCATTGCTACTGGCTGCAAAAGAAAGCTAGTAAGTGAACTGCTAGGACCCCTTGCTCTACCCATAATTCACTACATTTGGGATACATTTAGCACTGTTAAAAATATACAAAGGACCACTTAATACACCCAAACCGCTTCCTTCATCTCAATGAAGTGGTCTGGGTGCAGTGGGTTTGTAGTTTTAATCCTGCAATGTAAAACATTGCAGTTTTTTAGTTAAAGGTGCAACCTGCCCCCCACCCCCAAAAAACTGGTGTTCGCATTTGACAACTACATATGTATTTTGGAACACAGTGTACATAGGAGGTTTGGATAAGTCTAGTTTAAGGATGCAGACCTTCTACCTCTCTTTGTAAATACCCTCTTCCCTACCTGTCCAGAGGTGGACACCACCCACCTCTTATACCCCTGTTTTAATACTGCTTATATTTTCTTTTTAAGTGGACCATTATTTTTTGAATCATTGGGAATAAAGTTTAAGTTTTTTTGCCACTTACAATACTTGTGTGCTTCCTCCCAGTGTATCCCACAATTTTGAGTGACACTGGGATTTTTGTTCTCATTTTCAGTAGCAAATGTATATATGTATGTGTGTGCATATTTCTACATATAATGTATTGTGTCGAATCTAGTGAGTATAGTGAGTGTACGCATCTATCTAAAATAAAAAGTAAAGTCAGGGAGAGTGTGTCAGACTGGAGAGCCTACTAGGGGTTAACCCCTACATAAAATACATTACAATCCAATTAAGTAAATGATATAGAAAAAACAGCCTGTTTTTTTTTTTTCATATTCTTTCCTACTTTGATTTTTAATATGCAGTTATGTAAATACCTGCAGGATTAATACTGATAGACGTTATTAGAGTAATATAAGGGGTTCAAGGTTAAAGAGGGGTTTACTTTTTAAGAGGAGTTAAACCTAGGATTAAAGTAAAGGTTTTATTTTCAGGTTTAGGCTATGAATGCTTACATTTGGGGAAAAGGAAGGTGTTTGATTATGGCTTGGAAGGAGTTACATTTATGGATTGGGAAATATGGGTACATATCATACAGGCATGTGGAGTTTAAAGGGTTATTTGCAAATACTCCCCCTCCTATGATGGAGGGGATAAGCTGATTAATACATTTAACAAAACTGTTCACCCACCCACAGCCTCTATCCAACATGACTACACAAACACACACTCTGCATATACTACACAAACACACACTCTGCATCAACTACACAAACACACACTCCATCCATTACACAAACACAGACACTGCATCCACTACACAAACACACATTCTGCATCAACTACAAAACACACACTCCATCCATTACACAAACACAGACACTGCATCCACTACACAAACACACTTTGCATTCACTACACACACATACTGCATCGGGTATATACACATACTAAATCAACTTTACTAGCCTTGTGGGCAGACTCGAATGTTGGCCCTGTGGGCAGACTCGGATGTTGGCCCTGTGGGTGGACCTGGGGATTGGCCCTCTGGGTAGACTCTGGGGGTGGGCCTTGTAAGCATCCTGAGGAGCAAGCCCTGGAGGCCCAGGCCTTGAGCTGTGTAAGGAGCCCCAAAATTCATGATGGCAGTCCTGCTTGTCTCCCCTCATGAGGAAACAAAAAAAGCACATAACTGTTGTAAATAGTTGCCCCCTACAGGTGCCTGTAGGCAGATGCCCAGTCTGCCTAATGGTAAATCCCTATTCATGAGCAACAGCCAGGTGAAACCTGGCCATGCGACCAGATGCAGCTCATAGGAAAGCAATGAATTCTATCATTGTCTATTAGAAGCATTTGATCTGACGAGGATGACACTCATCACATACACAAACCTCATCCCCAAGTCTCCTCTCAATGCTTTTTTCACTTATTTTAGTTTATTAAACCAGGGGGTGAGGCTAATTAGTTACTAATGAACTATAGAATTAGGATACAGGTTTGTGTTACTAACACGATAGTTTTACTTAAGTCTGTATGACCGGCTGAGTTATGTCTTAGTTTGGCGAGAGCTCACTGCAGAAGAAAATGCAAGAATTTCGAATATGACTTACTTTTTATTTTTGTATTGGGAAATGTATTATCTGGATATATTTAATGTGTTATCAATAGACTGTGTTACAAGTCAACTCTAGCAAATCACTGCACTTGATGTTGTAATAATAACGATGAATGGTCAAAGCAGTGTAACAATTTAATTGTTACTTAATGTATGTCCTTTATAGGATTCAGCGGAAGTTGTTATTTGCTAATTCCAACACTAATTAGTATTCAGACACCTGTGCGTTAGCCTTGAGGGTTAAAAATAATGCATTATCTGTCAATTCTCCACACTCGAAGTCTTGCTGATAAACCCAACAGTCTCTAGAATTCAGGATTCAGCATCTACAAATGGTTACATTGTTACATTTCAAACCACTGTTTAGGGCAAGATTCTGAAAGCAGATAACAGTCTATTAAAAAACACTGCTGAGTTAACCCTTTCCCAGCCTAGATGAGAGTATAATGGAGATCAGTACAAGGCTATTCCCTTCTAACGATGTAAAGGCTATCACCTCCTAGCCATCTAAAGGTTTTCACTTGAATGTAAAGGGTATCCCATCCTCGTATTTTAAAGGCTACCCCCTCCTCACAATGTAAAGACTTTCTCCTCCTAACAAAGGCTATCATATTTTAAAGGCTATCCCCTCCAAATATTTTAAATATTAAATAACACTATCCCCTCAATATAAAGCGTATTCCATCAATATAAAAGATACCCTCTCAATATGGAGGCTAACAGCTCAGTTTAAATGTTATCTTCCCAATATAAAGGCTACCCCCCAATGTAACGGATACCCCCTTAATATAAAGGTTATCACACTAATGTAAAGGATGCCCCCTCAATATAAAGGTTATCCCCCTATATAAAGGATGACCCCTCAATATAAAGGCTATCCCTCAATGTAAAGGATACCCCCTCAATATAAAAGCTATACGCTATTGCAAAGGCTATCCCCTCAATATAAAGACAGCCCCCCCAATCCCCTATGTAAAGGCTATCCCCTCCTAGCCATTTAACCCCTTAAGGACCAAACTTCTGTAATAAAAGGGAATCATGACATGTCACACATGTCATGTGTCCTTAAGGGGTTAAAGGCTATCCTGCTTTATCACACAGATGTCTGACACCCCTATTGATGGAGTTCATGTAAAATCTTGGTGCATGCAGTTTGGGAGCCCCAGTTGAGTGAGGATTCCCATAGACCATTGTTTAGTAGCATGCCCCCTGTTCCTTAAGATGTGTTTATGTATTCATGCACGCTGTCGGTATGCTCTAGCCGAGCTGTGCACAGCAATGCGCTGCAGCAGCCTAGTGCAGCAATCTGTCCCTTGTCTGAGCCGGCTGCCCCCCTTCTCCTCTGCCCCCCCACCCCCCCCCAGCACTTCTCTGGCAGGTATCCCCCATGTCAGGGCTGGCTGGACCCGCAGAGCATGCACTCTGTCCGGATAGCCGCGGTGCTCTCTCCTTACCCAGGCAGGGCTTCCCTCCCCCCTCTCCTCCCCCAGTCCTGGGTGCAGGGCTTGCTGCGGGCGCCGGGGTCTGGGAGCCCAGGCGGAGAGGGGCAGAATGACGTCAGCGCAGCTCAGGCAATAGGCTGTAGCTCCCAAGCCTCATTCAATGCCTTGTCTGCAGCCGGGAGCCAGCCAGCGGTACAGCAGCAGCAGCATTCACCGCAGCATCAGTGACATCCTCAGTAGGTAAGTCACATAGCTCCATCACTGCAAAAAACAAAAAACAAAAAACAATTAAAAATAAAATTAATTAAAATAAACATCCCAGTGCCACGGACTGCCAGCACCCACTGCCCCTTTAGACCCAGGCTGTGCCAGTCACCTGGGCAAGTACTGCATTTCGAGGGGTACCCACATCATTGTCTGATGTGACTCTCAAGGGCACATAGAGGGATGAGGCTCTGTAAGTCATTCATCAAAATCAGTGTTGTTGACTTTGGGAGAAGGTGATGGATGAGCTGTAGGTATTAACTCTTCAAGTGTCAGAGTGGTAAAGCAGTACTGCCCCTCTGGCACTCATAGGGTGAAAAATGCCCCCACCCCCTCTCCTTTGATATGGGCTTGATTTGTTTTGGGAGTCAGTGCCTCTTCTGTTACCAGTTTACAGTGATTTACCTGTGTTTCTCTAGTGGATCTTGGGCTGGCTGAACATATAATAGAGCAACTGGCTCTGGCAGACAGTTATGGTCTTAATTCTACTTCCAAGTTGGCATCTGCAGGTCTGTCTCTTCCTCTGCTGAGCTCAGTAATTGAATTAAAGATTACCTAAGCTACAGTTTTTCTTTTCTTTTATCTTTTTTCCCTCACCTCCTGTATACCAGATTCTTTTTTAACAGCAGGGTTTTCTAACATGGGATCCACATTATTTATGGCATACTTCCAGGGTCTGCTGAATGGACTTGTCGACAAACCATCATTTGAAGAACATGTCTTCTGTTACTCATTGCCTATTTATATAATTTAAACTATTTTCCCCTCTGCCTTTATTCACAGGTTGTTGCCTTTTTCCAGCCAACTTCAACTTCTGTGATTTTATGAGATATTATCTAGTCTCAGTTCCAGTGGAAAAACACACAGGTGCTTCTCCTTTTTGGTATCACCAACCTTTCTCCATGAGTCCAAGATTCTCCAAACAGCTCAGGCTGTCTATGTCACCTTGCCTCTTCAACAGGACATCTCCGTCCAATAGCACCACCAACTGTGTAACAGAAGTGGAACCTCTGTTCCAGTCCTTCTCCTCAACCTTGGTCTTAATTGTTCTGGCCACGGTCATCTTCTGCTTGGTTGTCCTATCACTTAGCACCTTTCACATGCACAAGAGCAAGATGAAAAAGCGTAAGATTGAGAAGGCTCAGGAGGAGTATGAGAGGGACCACTGCAGTCCTAAGGCAGAGAGGAGTCATTTATATGGAAAGGAGAATAGACAACCAAGTGCCCCCCAGGACAGTAGCTCTTCACCTTCTCCAATCATTCAGAGGAAGGAATCCAGCAGCATAAACCTGGATTCCAGGATTATTGAGCATTCTCAAATAGAACCTTCTGTTTTGGACAAAACCAGTGAGGACCTGCTGCAGTCTGTGGTGTTGTCATGATCCAAAATGACAGAGAAGGCTATGTTCTTGTACATATTTGGTGACACTGTCTCTGAGAAAAAAAATAAATTCAATTCAATTAATAAGAGCAAAAAATATTTACAAGAGTCAAGCGCATGATTACAAAACCACATTGCGTTGCTACCATTAAGTGTGTGAGATAACAAATAATTAAAAAAAAAAAGGATTCCTTGTAATGCTTTTTTTTCTGGAGACAAGTCTACACAAATGCTACCAAATATATTGTCATTTGCCTGAGGACATTCACCCTTGCTGTATATACAAAGCGTACAGGATAGCCGCATCATCTCCTTTACCTATATACCAATTATAAGGGATTTAACAAACATGAGCTTGCCAAAATGACAAATATTGCACAACATAACACAATGTACTGGAAGAGAGATGGCTGGATCTTGTGTGCTAAAAATACGGAATTGTAATATGGAGAGAACCTTTGTGAAGAAGAGGATTTCTTTCTGTTAAAAAAAAAATGACAACCCTTTTTTGGGGGGAAAAAGAACAAACAGCATATGCCATCTTTTAATTTCGTTTCAGAATGCTTGGTAATCTTTTTTAATAGAAAAATCTTTTTTGCCTTGTGGGGCTTTTATCAGTTAATCAAGCGATGCACCTTGCTTACTTCTGCAATACTGTATGATTGGTGAAGGGAGCTGTTCATATGTGATGGTGCTGAAATTTATCCACACGGTGTGTTAACAGTGTTTTTCAAACCTTGTCCTTAGAATCCATTAAGAAGTCTGGATTTAAGGTTGTTCCTTCCACTGTATAGGTGCTTCAATCAAAGTGACAGGACCACTGATTAAATCACCTGATAAAAAGCAGGGATGTTTTAGAATTCTGGCTTGGGTCCTGAGGACAATATTGAATAACACTGCTAAGGTATAATATTACATTATAAGTTTACTTTCTGTTATTCTTTGCTTAACTTATTATATAAACTGTACCTATACATGCAGATACAGTCTTTTTGTAAACAATTTTTGGGTGATGTGCAGTTCTGAAGTGCAGTTACTAATCCTAAATTATATTTTGTTGTTCTTCTGTTTAAACTAAAAAACAAAAAACAAAAAACCTGTGCCCTTATTTTACTTATATATTGATGATGAAGCAAAACATAGCTGTGTACTATGCACTCTTTAATGTATGTTTATTGTTTCATGCCTACTGACGTGAGAGATCTCGCAGGAAATTAAATTCAGTAGCATGACCTAGCTTCTATTGTTACAAGAATAAATTTTATATCTTAATCAGTTCTTGACAATTCATCTATATTTTTTTTTTTTTAAAGAGTCGTTTGGAAATTAACAGACAATGCTTATGTCTGATATCCATAGATTTCAAAACAAAGAAAATTTTATTTTGCTTTCACTAGAAATCTTAGGGTTAGTGTCCATATATGTTGAGACAAGCCTAAAGAAATGTTAAGGTTGAAGTGCTGTGGTTTGCCAACTATCTGCAGATAAGCCTACTGCAATGTTGTGCTAGATGTTCTAAATTTAGAACTTTGATCAAGATTTGCCTTGCTCAGCTTAGACTTAATGCAATGACTATATTGGACTGGTTTAGTTTCACAGTGAGGGTGTGAATGCATGGAAATGATCAACAAGCGAATGTGGTGTGTCGATGATGTGATTAAGCAATACTAAGCTCCCAGATGCTTAGCCAGCTGTGTGAGTTCAATGGACTGTAACATATGAACCATCCATTAGGGCAGGCATAGGCAACATTCGGCACTGCAGATGTTTTGGACTAAACGTCCCATGATGCTTTGCCAGCATTATGTGTGCAAGAGCATTATGGAGGATGTAGTCCATAACATCTGGAGTGGTGAAGGTTGCTGATCCCTGCCTTAGGGTAATGACTAGTAGACAACTGCAAGGAAACACACTATTAAAAATACCAAAAAACAAATTTGTCAAAATATCCTTTATGCACAATGTAGTCAACTTAGATTGCAAAATGCATTTTCTCATATTTAATTTTCACTGGAAATTTTTTGAAAATAGCTAAATGAAGACCACATGATACCAATGAGTGTATATATCTCTCTCTGTACAATAGTGCCTGACGTAATTACTGCTTAAACTGTTATATTGGATCAATGGTCGTGTTTCATTGACTTCAGATTTTATCAGCTGTGGATTGTCAGATGGGGATGGGTACTAGAAAATGAGAAGAGGATGATACTCGTAAATTACAAGCCAAAAACAGTACCTCAGTAACAAATCTCCTAAGGCTTTGGGTTAAATCCATACTAATTGATTGCTGTGGTCGATTGTGTCCAATTGTACCTCAACTCACAGTCTTATGGAACGGCTGATTCCAAGTTTCGTCACATCTAAAACACAGAGGGGTTCTGTGTGCGGCTGTAATGTTACCTTCAATACTGCCTTTCTTATTGCATGGCATTTTTTTTGGAGTCTTTGTTTTTGCACACTTTTGAATTTGTCAAACTCACCTCTTTTAAAAATGAAAGAGGTTTCAACGCTATAGATTCTAGAGAAAACCTACACATCAAATGCTCTAATGTTTTGTAAGTGGAGAAACACATGTTACATTACAGAACAAGCTGGGAGGCTGGTAATAATGTAAGATATGACAAAAGATGTAAGAAAGTAGATATATCACTCCTTGTCTTCAATGACTCTATATCAGCTTGTGAGATATTGCAAAAAGACACAAATATCACACGACTTGTATGTAAAGCAGTCTGTAATCAATCTGGTTCTTTAACATAATTAGTCAGTAGTAAAGTGCAGATCCATGAATGTGAAATTATGTACACATATAATATAATACATATACATTTATATAAATATGTGTTATATATGTATAGAATATTTGCAGGCACATAGATAGATAAACACAAATACACCATTGTATCCTGTGTTTCTTAGATTTTTTTCTAAATTTATGTTCTAATATAAAACAAATAAAGTGTACCTGATTTATACAACAGAAAGAAAGCAATAAACAATTGGTTTCAAAACGTGATGGGTGTCAGTTAAGTAAATTACAGAGGCCCAGTTCTATTGTTTGCTAGTTCCATGTGGCCCTAGGACAGGTTTGTTTCATTTAGCTATTAACATGTACAAAGTCCAGTTGGCATCCAAGACAATTCAATGCAATTTTGTTGTATTTTTTGTGTGAAACAAAAGGATTCTCAACAACTGGGATTTACAGGGGCTAATCTGCATAATGACTAAATTGTCATTGATAGGATGTTGTATGCTTGAATTTATTTAAACAAACAAACAAACAAACAACCTTTGGTATTCCCATGGACTTAAATAAGAAATAAGCCTATAAATTATTTAACACTCTATTTGAATACGTATTTAAAAACTGCCATGGCTTTAGTCATACAAAGGGTTATTTGCCAAGAGCATTCTTGAGGCAAAGTTCTAAAAATGAAGCAATCACCATGGAAACCAATAAAATGTCCCCACTAATTGCTCCATGATGGAACTTTGACCCAGAATTGAACTAGTTTAATTACTCCCATTGGGTCATTATATGGTGACGTAAATGGATCAGCATATCTGACATGCCACAGGTGATGTAATTTGGAACCTGGCAAATCTCACTATAATTTGTTGTTAATGTATTCCTCTATCTAATGTATCTAGCTATCTATCTAATCAATTTCGCGCAGTCTCATCCAAAATCTAGGCTTCATAAAGGATCTCACATCCATTATGGTTTAGATGGACCCTTACTTTTCTTGATAATAGAAATGGCAGCCACACACACACATATATACACACACATACCTATATTATACTTAAAGGTGAAGCATATTAGGGAAAAAGGATGCCATTAGGCGGTTTTGGAGACATCAAAACAAACTATGAGAACAAGTGACATAGAAATGTCTCCAGAACCCCTCAACAGCAGTATTTTCCCATAATCTAAGTTTCATAGTTATGTATCTTTTAAATTACATGATATTTTATGTTCAGTTAATAAAAGAATTACAATTTTATAGGGGTTAATGCTCAATGACAGTGTTGTGTTAGGATAATGTAGGGATTAAAGTAATACACCAGACCCCTAAAACACTTAAGCTTGCTGAAGGGCCTTATGTATGAACAGTGTGTCCTCTTACTTCATTTTACAAAAAGTGCAGATTTCTATAGAAATTGACACATATAAATTAACCTTGTTACACCCCCTGGCTGTCAGTCGGGTAACAGTATGTATGTTGCTTCCTGGTTTGTTTAGCTCAGTGGAGCTAAATTAAAGAGGCAACAATTGCTAAGAGCACCTGTCTTGCATAGACTTCTCATTGAGCTATACTGGGAAGTCTGTGATTGGACAGCCACAGAAAGTCTGGGTGGGGTTAGAAGGAGAAGACTTGCAAATCCTTCAGACAAGAGAACAGCAGCTTTTGCAAGCTGTTGTCAGGTACACCCTCTGTGAAAAAAAAATGCATAATTAATTGGGGTATACCTATTAAACAATGATTTTTATTTATTTTCTGTAGTTGAGTTTAAAGTGACAGTGTCCCTTTAATATATAGCGTAGTGAAGTATGTTCAGGTAGCGTAGGGTTGATATATCTATTTTTCCATTGTTCATCATTTTAATCTAATTATATACATTTCATTTTATGTCGTTATTCTCCTTCCCCACTTCATCATTTCTTCCTTGTTCCTCTGAGAACACAGTTTCTGCAAATATTAGTTTTGGTTTTAGTTAAATGGATCAGAAAAAGGTGCAATGTAAAGAGGAACACTTATACAATGTTATCTTTTTATATTGTCTTGATTATATTAATATATTTTGCTTTGAAAACAGGTAATGGGCAAAACATTTTAAAAAGGTTTTTTTTTTTTGTTCTCCTCCACCCTATCCAGATAATCTTTTTTTGTGACGAGAGAATTGAGCCCCTCTTTGACCCAGTCCATATCAGGCTGCTGCCAATGTTTCAAACATTTAGACAGGTCGACTACTGCCTGCAGAATACTAAGGAAAGAAGGAAAGACTGATTGAGAGTGGACAATTAACAAATAAAAGTATCTTGTGAACTAAAGATTCTTTTTTTTATGACCACTTTACAAAGTTGCTTAAATCAATATCTTCTAGAACACATCAAAGGTTTATTTTCACAAGAGTCCGCTGTTAAAAGAGAAAACTCACATTGAAATTAGGCATAGTATATGTTACATAACACAAATAAAACAATATTTCGATCACGTCATGTCCTCTGTGCACAGCAGAAGCAATGTGAATATAAACTAAGAGATAAATAGCGGAATGACATGTGGATTATCATTATTGATCAAAAAAAGCTAAAGAGCAACAGGAACAGCCACAATGTATGGGTAACTGATCACAGAGACAGTCCTAGCTCTCTGGCATAAATGATGAAAATGATCTCAACATATTTGAAAAATGTGATTGTTTTCCTCATGATACTCTTGCTTTGATATAATATTGATGTATTCTTTTATTTTATTTAAAAGACAGAATTTAACTTACAGTGTGCTAAATACAGGCCATATCACTAGCTTGAGATTGCCCCTTATCTATATGTTCATATTCTATTTATTACTTAAGTAGGTAAGAGCATACTTCATAATAATAATAATAATAATAATAGTAATAATAATGATAATAACAATAATAATAATGTATCCATTTATGCGTTAGAGGTTCTGGGAGCTAGCTGGTGCACAAACAACATGGCTTTCCAGTGAATTTAATTATATATAATTTCTCTGTATTTCAAACTAATTTAATATATTACAATATGCAAAAGGAATTTCTAATTTAGTCAGACATCCATCGGGTAAAATAATGCTATTCTGTAAAATAGCACATTGAAGGGATTTAACTCTAGAATGTGTCCAAACCTCATAGCTACAGGTACAATTCACAGAAAGCTCAAGTATTCACACTATCCAAAGTAGAATACAGTGACTAGCAGAATGTGCAAGGACTAATAATGTAGAAAAGCTGGACTACCTACAATTTTAAACGTGATGTACTATGAGATAGGATTTTCGATAAAATTGAAGACATTATGGTCTCCTGTACCTTCTAGTAGACAGGAGGGATCCCCATGTTCTCACCTATCACCAAGACAAGTGTTAAGTGAGTGAATATTTATAGTAAAATAGTGGCAGTACCCAAGACACCCTATGTTTAAACATCGTACAGCTGGGTTTGGAAAATTTATAGGACACCATTTCGCTTATTAAAGAAGAGTGGCATGGTGGTGGTGGTGGAGCCTAGACTCCATCGTTCTGATCCTATCTTCAGATACAATGCACTTGACCAGCCTAACCAATCACACTGACCCCTCATCTATAAAGCTGAAGATGTTTTCATACAACTTTCTGCTGTGAGGATGTGCTTATTGTGCTTTTATATAAATTTAAAGCTATGGTTGTTAATTGTTTTTCTTTTTTTTTTTTCAAAGGGTATCTATTTAATTGGTAAGACTATTTTACTTATTTGAAACTGTTTGGAGATTGGAAGTGTTTTTTTTATTGCAACATGCATGCAAAAGCTAAAGATACTTGGGACCCCTGCAGGGCATGCACTCAAGATATAACATATTTTACTTGCAGCTCATTTGTTAATTAGTCCGAATTTAGGGAGAGGTCCATTATATTAAAGGTGTATAGTTGCAGGAGAGCTTTTTTTTACTATTTTCTGGGTACTGTGCCTAGGTAATGGCACTATTGGTGATAAAGTCGCTGAATGCTGATTTGGCAGTTTGCCAGGGTGGTGTGTTACCTTTACATTGAAGTGTTTCTGTGCACTGTAGTTAGAGGAGGACTGGGCATTTGCATCCTTTTCAGAGGCTACTTAAGAAGCTTCTTTTCTGAGAGATCGGCTGGGGAGCCAGATACAGTGCTATCCTTTCTTTCCAGGTTCTCTAATGGCACATCAAAGGCAAGAGTGGCTGAACTAAGGACAGTAACAATAGAAGATACTAACAGGAGTGTATTCGTCTTACTTTGCCAAACAATATATGTTTTTTGTTTTTTTTAATATGTTTCTAGAGTTCTCACTGTAACATTACAATTAAATAGCAAATCACTAATCTAACAATCTTCACTGTTCCTTTGGTCTTCATAAATCTCATGAACTTTTAACAGTCTTCAAAAAAATAACGTGACTTACAACTTGATAATGAAATCAGCTTGCCAACTTACCAAAGATTATTTGGAAGAGTTGTGGCTACTTGTGGAATTTGACATACAAGTCTGATCTTTTTTGTCCCCCAAAACAAGGACAGAAGGTGCCTGTAGCAAGTGTGTTAAAAAATGATAAGCTTAGAGTCATGTCTACAAATGCTCGCAGTTTAGGGAATAAGATCCATGAACTTTTGGCAATAATGGCAACTGATAGTGTAGATTTAGTCGCTGTTACTGAGACATGGTACAATGAGAAAAATGACTGGGACATAGCAATACCAGGGTACTCTTTATATAGGAAAGATAGGGAAGGCAAGAAAGGGGGAGGGTGGCCTTGTATGTGAAGGATAGCATAAAATCTAGCCTAATAAAAGTTAGTGAGGCAAACATAGAGTCCGTTTGGGCTACGTTAGAATTTGGTAATCACACAGTAACTCGTGTAGGTGTGATTTATAGGCCCCCAGGACAAATTGAAGAGTTAGATAATCTACTAGTTGAGGAAATAGCTAAAATGACAATGAAGGGGGAAGTTATCATCATGGTGACTTTAATCTTCCTGATGTAAATTGGAAAACAAAATTAGCTACTTGTGCCAGGAGCACACATATT